CCCGTATTCCATATTTCTAAATTCATAAAGTAAAAATTTATAGAACTATATCGTTTGAAAGTAAAAGAAAATAATCACAAACTGAAAATAGTTGTTCCTATATTCCATATTTCTAAATTGACAAGATAAAAATTCATATAACTATACAGTTTGAATATATTAAATCATTTTAGCTTATTTGGAGAGTTTTTAATTTCCAGTTTATTAGGGGAAAAAGGAAGTACCAAATTTTTCTTTTCTTTTCTTTTTTTCCCTTTCAATTATACCATATAAGAGATGACTTTTTATTTTTTAACTTTGACATGGCCTAGCTAAGTCAAATTTGGAGAGTTTTCGCATTGTCTATCATTACTCATAAGGATATATATGCTTTAAAAGCATTAATATTATTTTAATTTTAATAGATATAGATATTGTAAGACTAATATCAACAGAGAAGGCAAAATAAATAAATAAAATAATTATTTTAAAATTAAAAAAAAAAAAAGAAAAAAAAAACTATTTTCGTCAAAGTAATTTAAAAAATAAATAAATAAAATAAAATAAAATTATCATGTAATATAGATATGAGATAGAATTTTCAAACAACGAGTAGGCCTTTTTCAAATAAGCTAATTCATTTAGGACTCTCATACCATATATTACCTACCATTCACTTTAAACGTTTAAGTTATTAAAATGGATATGATTTTAATATTTATAGTCTCGAACACCAAGTTTACAGTAAAGTGAACATTGGTTACCTGATCGTTGGTTCCAAAGAAAAGAAAGAAAAGAAAAGAAAAAAATTAGTTACTGGATTTGGGACCCCTCATCCAATATGATCACTTTGAGTCTATTTGTAAATTCACTCACAAATGAGAGGATTACTGATTTGATTCTATGGCTCATAAAGCTCTTCCAAAATGTGTTTTTTTTTTTTTTTGTTTTACACTCTAAAGCTTTTATCATGGCCATTAATTTTACGTAATTTTCAGTTGAAGCTGTATTCTTTTTGGTTTGATAAGCCCTTATTAGGGATACCTTTCAAAAAATAAATTTTTTTTTGCTAATTAGGGATGGCAAAAATTCCTACTCCGACGGAGCACTGCCTTATCTCGTCTTGTTTGGGGGCTGTTTTGGGAAAACGATATGTAAATGGGAACGTGATGAGTGTTGCTTTGAAAAAGCCAGAGTGTTTTGGGACTGTTCTGGGAAGGATTGTCCCGCCCCACCCTGAATATACTATAAAGTTATTAAATTACCTTTATATATTATTAAAATATGTTAAGTATATATATATAGACACACACACAAACAAGGAAACCCTAACTCTTATTTCGTTTCATGTCTAAAGTCTTGTGAAAAAAACGAGAGTCGCGAGTAAAGATAGCAAAATTCTCCACCTTTGCGGGGCCCCACCCCGTTGGAAGGGTTCTGAAAAATCAATTATGTAAATGGGGATAGGGATGACGACTGCTAGCCTTTGAAAAACTTGACAAATTTTGAGACGGTTGTGGGGGTAAAAAATATTAAACGGAGATGGGGAATGAGAATTCCACCCCAAATCGCCCTATTACCATCTCTACTGCTTATATACATGCATTACTCGCGAGTTCAAACCCCTCCCATCTTCCTTTGAAAAAAAATATATTAGACAATCGGGTTTACAACCCATTGGTCCAGCTTCAAAATCATAATTAATATCATGCATGGTTAAATTCCTTGTGTCGGCCTCTCAAATAATAAAACAAAAGGATTTTCAAATTTTAAATACATTATAATTAATCACAGTTGGTATTCTCTTTATTGTGAGAGACATCATGTAACTTTGCACTGTTTAAGCATCAATAATTATAATAATAGTTATAAAATATATGAAAGTATCCATCATATAAAGTTAAGTTTAGCATGAAAAGCTCACCATATCCACAACCTCATTTAGCAACAATTAAGAATGTTAAATGTGACAAACTTGTACTTTGATTCAGAAAGTAGTTCAATCATCACCCAAAGTTTTTTTTTTTTTTTTTTTTTTTTAGCTTCTTATTCTCTGCTTTTCTCTTCTCCTTTCCATGTTAAATTCGAATCCTGAATTTAAAAATTGGATGAATTGTTCCCAAATCCCACAAATGTGCTTGATTGATATGTTTAGATACTCGATGTTGAATAAATTGTTTAAATTTTGTTCTTTTGTTTTTATTCATAAAAGGGTTGCCATTAAAAATTCCACCATCAATTTATTATTACCCAACTAGTTTCTAACAATATCCTTTTCTAATAAATAATAAAATATATAATAGAAATCTAATCAACTTCAGTTTGCAATTTATTTATTAACTCAGCAATTTTTTATAAGTGGACGGACCAATTCATGTTGATTGACGCACCATGGTATGCCTAAGTGCCTAACACAATTAACATTTACTCTTCAATTCCATCTTCATTCTTACCATACAACTCTACTGAAAAAAAAATTAGATAGTCCCAGATCCGGCCAATCACAGAAAAAAACACTGCATAAAGGTTACACGTTTCTGAGACCATTACTTACGAGTCCATTAGTTTGGCTCGGTACTATGTAATAACTTGTAATATTCGTGCTGAGAAGTTAAACTATAACAAGCTTGCAATGGGCTGGTCATATAGCCCAGCCCAAACTGGCGCCAGGTACTCTTGATCCAAAATTCTAAAGAGTGTTTTCTTTTTTCCTCGCAAATTGCAATCAAATACTCCGTATTAATTAAAAGGGTAAATTATACTTACCAAGACTAGTCCACTGCTTGTCCAAAAATACAATTATATCCCCAACTCACGACATTTCTACCAATCTAATTTTCTTTAGTTAAGGGAATAATTGTCTTTTTGCACAAGCATTGGCAAAAGCTAAAAAAAACTTGTCACATCAACATTATCAACGTAACTTACAACTGAAATCGATTTGTTACATACATTCAACATTATCAACGTAACTTACAACTGAAATCGATTTGTTACATACATATAACTAGGAGGAGGTAACAATAATTATTCAAAACACATGGTATGTGAGTGTGATAAACTCTAACTAGAGGAAAAATAAGTGCAATTTACCCTAATTAAAACACACAAAATAATCTCAAAAGATATTATTATTATGGTAGGGTTGTGTTAAAATTTTCGTTTCACAACTATACGAATGGTGTTTTAGGCCTGGGTCCGCCTACAAGTAGAAACACAACAATTCACTTTTGAGAGTCCAGCCCAAGTATCACTATCATCTCGCAAATAATAAAATGGCAAATATTTGTTGAGACTTGTGCATTAAAAAAATGAAATTTTAATTCAAAAATATTATTTAAACATTTATCCGATTGCTAAAAACAACAATTACAAAGCATCATCTTTCTGTTAGTTCAAACACCATAAACTCGGATTCTTATCAACAAAGCCTTAATCCTATGAACATACATTTATTTGGTGCGTAAATCAGATTAAGCCGGAATCTTAAATAAATAAATATTAATTAAATAAGAATGCATTGCCAAGTGAAAAACAAAGCAATGAGCAGCCTCACCAATACAAATGCAGGTAAAAAAGGAATCAGAGAATAAAATAGAAGATACACGAACAAACAAATAGACACCGGTTTCAGCAACGGTCGACCAATTTTCTAATATGTGATGAACACAAAATTCTCCGGCCCATCATGCAGCAACTTGATCAAAGAGCTGCTTGCGGATCTGCAACAACAAAAAACATACATAGATGTGGTTGAAGCATGGTCATTCATTTTACACAAATGCATAGCAACCTAAAGCTGTTACATATAATCATGGTTAAGGTACACACAACTATATAAAATTATAGACAATATAACATAAGCTCTCTCGCGCTCTCTCATTTTTCATTGTGGGCTAGGAATGGTTTCATGATGATAAATTACTACTAGGTACAGAAAATACACACATTGTTGAACTTTCGAGTTTCTAAAGTTAAATATAATCTATTTGGGTTTTCGGAAAATAAAATAAAATTGAAGTAACTAGTTCTACAGATATGGTAAGATTATGAATAAACCAGGTTGTGGTGGGAGCTTCAAGCATCTTGTTATCTTTTACCATTTTTATGTCATTTTTTGGTCCACTAAAGTTGACAGTTCGGGGCCAAACAGAACAAGAAAAACACCTATAAAAGGGAAGCACCAAAATCTTTCGGTCTTTTTTTGTCAGATTGACAACTGGGATAGAGGGGATGCTCCACTAATATTCCCATTGGGCATCTAGAAAGCCGTGCATAGTCATCATTCAAGGATACTGACATGTTTCCTTATGGAAGCATGATGCAGAGAGAACCCGTGGAAGAAATTAATTCAGTTACATATTACATCTTTGGCTCAAGCTTGATGTTAAGTTTTGTTCATATTAATGGCCTATAACAGGATGTCAGTTCAGAATGGCAATGATCCATATAGAATTAAAAAAAAAAAAGGGTGTAAGAGCATCCGGTATGCATAAAACATATTATCTATCCACTTTTTTAAAAGTAGATAGCCAAGTCGGCACACTTTATATTAAAGTGTGCCGACTTGGCTATCTACCTTTTTTTATCCATTATGTTTCAACCCACTATCTCGTTAACTAATTTATTATTATTTAATTACAAAATGAAAAGAAAATTTGTTTAAATTTTTTTCAATTGTTTTTTTTTTTTTATCTTTTTCCAACAGCTATATTTCAATTTCTATATAAACTACTCATTCTATCTTCTTTCAATCCTCAAGTCCATTTCTTTGCATTCTCAAGTCCATTTTCTCTTCTTTAAGACTTCTGTCTTTATTATACACAAAAAAGAATGGCTTCATCATCACGATATATTCCAGTCTCCGAGTTTATTTCTCCATTCAATTAGACAGATTCAAATGGGAAGATGTTATTGAAATCCATTGAAAATGGATGAACACTGTGAGGAGGTTGTTATCACCTGATAGGGTGTGGGCATTCTTTCAAACCTTGTAAGAGAAAATATATTAAATGTGGTCGAGAGGAGCCAGTAAAATGGAGGTGGAAGATCCATGGAGTGTTGAAAGATGACAATTGAGTGATAAAAACTAAAAGAAACATTGAGAGAGATAATTGTTGAAGATGAGAATTGTTGGAAGAGTTGAAGAAGTATTTATAAAGATTTAAAAAAATAAAAAATAAATAAATAAATAAAGCCGTTGTGAATGAAAATAAGAGTTGTTGAATGAAAAACAAAGAGTTGTTGAGAGATATATTTGCAAACAGCTATAATAATTGATGAGGGAAAGGGACAAAAAGGGGGAACCACAAAAAGAAACAAAAAGTAAAAGACGTGTTGAGACAGCAGAAGCGCGCGAATAAATAAACATCCAATGAAAGTTAACAAAGCAATCACACGCAAACACAAGATATATATGATTCAGCCAAAACCAACCTACGTCTATGGATGACAAGAGATTTCACTATGATTCGTAGAGATATTACAACAATAGAGTACCAAAACCACCACTCCACGAGCCTATTTCCTCGCTACTAGAGTTACCGGTATTTTTCCTACTCAACCAACCTATATACTACCTCTACCAATCAACTCCCTCATGAGACTACATCTCTCTCAATCTCATAAGTCTAAACCCAAAGCCTATGTATCTATTTATAAAGTTCCAAACCCAATTCCTTATTAGACAAGGATTACAATTTCTTAGAGTTATGACTTGCCAAACAAGAAATTACCAAACAGAATACAACTCTAAAATTGAAACATAATTAGAGTAGGCATTTGAAACACAAATCCCAACAACTATATAAAATTATAGACAATATAACATAAGCTCTCTCGCGCTCTCTCATTTTTCATTGTGGGCTAGGAATGGTTTCATGATGATAAATTACTACTAGGTACAGAAAATACACACATTGTTGAACTTTCGAGTTTCTAAAGTTAAATATAATCTATTTGGGTTTTCGGAAAATAAAATAAAATTGAAGTAACTAGTTCTACAGATATGGTAAGATTATGAATAAACCAGGTTGTGGTGGGAGTTTCAAGCATCTTGTTATCTTTTACCATTTTTATGTCATTTTTTGGTCCACTAAAGTTAGACAGTTCAAGGCCAAACAGAACAAGAAAAACACCTATAAAAGGGAAGCACCAAAATCTTTCGGTCTTTTTTTGTCAGATTGACAACTGGGATAGAGGGGATGCTCCACTAATATTCCCATTGGGCATCTAGAAAGCCGTGCATAGTCATCATTCAAGGATACTGACATGTTTCCTTATGGAAGCATGATGCAGAGAGAACCCGTGGAAGAAATTAATTCAGTTACATATTACATCTTTGGCTCAAGCTTGATGTTAAGTTTTGTTCATATTAATGGCCTATAACAGGATGTCAGTACAGAATGGCAATGATCCATATAGAATTAAAAAAAAAAAAAAAAAAAGGGTGTAAGAGCATCCGGTATTGCATAAAACATATTATCTATCCACTTTTTTAAAAGTAGATAGCCAAGTCTATCTACCTTTTTTTATCCATTATGTTTCAACCCACTATCTCGTTAACTAATTTATTATTATTTAATTACAAAATGAAAAGAAAATTTGTTTAAATTTTTTTCAATTGTTTTTTTTTTTTTTTATCTTTTTCCAACAGCTATATTTCAATTTCTATATAAACTACTCATTCTATCTTCTTTCAATCCTCAAGTCCATTTCTTTGCATTCTCAAGTCCATTTTCTCTTCTTTAAGACTTCTGTCTTTATTATACACAAAAAAGAATGGCTTCATCATCACGATATATACCAGTCTCCGAGTTTATTTCTCCATTCAATTAGACAGATTCAAATGGGAAGATGTTTTTGAAATCCATTGAAAATGGATGAACACTGTGAGGAGGTTGTTATCACCTGATAGGGTGTGGGCATTCTTTCAAACCTTGTAAGAGAAAATATATTAAATGTGGTCGAGAGGAGTCAGTAAAATGGAGGTGGAAGATCCATGGAGTGTTGAAAGATGACAATTGAGTGATAAAAACTAAAAGAACATTGAGAGAGATAATTGTTGGAAGAGTTGAAGTAGTATTTATAAAGATTTAAAAAAATAAATAAATAAATAAATAAATAAAGCCGTTGTGAATGAAAATAAGAGTTGTTGAATGAAAAACAAAAAGTTGTTGAGAGATATATTTGCAAACAGCTATAATAATTGATGAGGGAAAGGGACAAAAAGGGGGAACCACAAAAAGAAACAAAAAGTAAAAGACGTGTTGAGACAGCAGAAGCGCGCGAATAAATAAACATCCAATGAAAGTTAACAAAGCAATCACACGCAAACACAAGATATATATGATTCAGCCAAAACCAGCCTACGTCTATGGATGAGAAGAGATTTCACTATGATTCGTAGAGATATTACAACAATAGAGTACCAACACCACCACTCCACGAGCCTATTTCCTCGCTACTAGAGTTACCGGTGTTTTTCCTACTCAACCAACCTATATACTACCTCTACCAATCAACTCCCTCATGAGACTACATCTCTCTCAATTTCATAAGTCTAAACCCAAAGCCTATATATCTATTTATAGAGTTCCAAACCCAATTCCTTATTAGACAAGGATTACAATTTCTTAGAGTTATGACTTGCCAAACAAGAAATTACCAAACAGAATACAACTCTAAAATTGAAACATAATTAGAGTAGGAATTTGAAACACAAATCCCAACAATCTCCACCTTGGCTCAAATTTCATCCGGCCAATCATCATTTCCCATGGCATTGATCATGACACTTCTTTTGCAGCTTCAATCTTGACGATACTCCTGCAAAACTCCGATTTTCCACGTTATACGTGTTTGACTCCAAGGCTCCACCTTGACTACTCGAACTCCATGCCATGTAACCAAACCGATTGACTCCACCTACAATTAAAGCCTGTTGTAGCACATGTTGAGACTTCTTGTGTTTTATGGATCTCCTTCACCTTTATCTCTGATACCAATTTGTTGGGCAGAGAAAGCACGTGAAACATAAAGATCCAATGATAGGTAACAAAATAATCACACACAAACACAAGATATACATGGTTTAGCCAAAAATCGGCCTACGTCCATGGATGAGAAGAGATTCCACTATGATTCGTCAAGATATTACAACAATAGAGTACCAACACCACCACTTCACGAGCCTATTTCCTCGCTACCAGTTTTACCGGTGTTTTTCCTACTCAACCAACCCATATACTACCTCTACCCATCAACTCTCTTATGAGACTACATCTCTCTCAATCTCATAAGTCTCAACCCAAAGCCTACGTATCTATTTATAGAGTTCCAAACCCAATTCCTTGTTAGACTATGATTATAATTTCTTAGAGTTAAGACTTGCCAAACAAGAAATTATCAAACAGAATACAACTCTAAAATATAAACATAATTTTGAAGGAATTTGAGACACAAATCCCAACAACATGTTTAAAAAATTGTGCCAAAAACGGCAATAGAGACAGAGATATAATCTATGGGACTCTCTATTTGTGGACAATGTAATTGGCACTCAACTCCCCATCCACACCGGTTGCCTCCTTCTCTACTTGACTCTCATATTGTCTACTTCTTCTTGCACCTCGGATGCTCTTATATTGTCACTCTACTCCCCACCCACACCGGTTGTCTCCTTCTCTACTTACTCTCATATTGTCTACTTCTCGCACCCCGGATGCTCTAATATTGTCACTCTACTTCCCACCCAAACCGGTTGCCTCCATCTCTACTTGACTCTCATATTGTCTACTTCTTCTTGCACCCCAGATGCTCTTATATTGTCCACAGATAGAGAGTTTCATAGATTACATCTATGTCTCTATTATCAGTTTTTGGCACAATTTTTTAAACATGTCTTTTACTTTTTGTTTCTTTTTGTGGTCGCCCCTTTTTCTCTCTTTCCCTATCAATTATTATAGTTGTTTGAAAATATATCTCTCAACATCTCTCTGTTTTTCATTCACATGGGAACCATTTATATACTGTAGGGGCGGGTATGGGTACAATATTGAAACCCATCGTGGGTTACTGGGCGGGGACAGGGTCTGGTAAAAATTTGCCCCTCCCCACCTTATATACTTTTTTAAAAAATAAAAATAATAATTAAAATATATATATGTGTTATAACTTATAACCCTAACCTCAGTGCCTCACCACATCCACAAGTTCACAACAAAACACAGACTCACACAGGTCGGCGCATCTCACAAAAGACCAAACCCTCACCAGTCACCAAAAAGACCAAACGTTCCAAGCCTTCACCAGTGATTGACGCAGTCACCACTCAGGCAGTCAGACAGAGCAGCAGAGATTGACGCGGTCAGGCAGAGATCGTCGATTCATCTCTATCGCACCCTCACCCTTCATCTCTTTATTCTGTGCACTCTTATTAAGTGATTCAACTTGATTTTTCTATATATTCTTTTTTCTTTTTTTTTTCCTGCCATTTTAGGGTTTTCAACTATATTTGTTTTCAAGTACATATATAGGAGTGAATTTTTTTTTTTTTTAATAAATAAATATTGTATAAAAAGCGTTCAAAAGGGGAATGTGTCCTTCAAAAGCTACACGAGGCCAAAAAGGGCCTTTAGACCCTCAAGTAGTCCAAAAAATCAACAAGTTCCTCTAAGGATTTAAAATTTCTCCCTAAACTCAACAAGTTCCAATTCTCCCTAGGAGTGAATTGGACCTGTGTTTCTAGAATCCTTGATGGGGAACATGTGCAGTGTTGGCTATTCCAATTCCAAATGAAAACTGAACTTTCCTCATCATGAGGCCCACACAAACATTCCTCTTTCGTTGCTTTCTATGTGTGTCAGGGACAAGAGAAAGATAGCCCAAATCATGGGAGTGGGTGGAATTGGTCATAGCTTTGAACGTTTGAATGCTAGATTAGGCTGTTGATATATTAATTGTGATTTGGGAGCCTAGAATCAATAGAGAAGTACAAGTATTGGAAATCAGAATTAGTTGAGGAGATCCAATGCCTTCTATTAAGGTTTTCTACCAGTATATATGAACATCAACTTTTGCTTTAACACTTCAAGGTGGTGTATGAAGTTATTAATAGTAATTTTCTTACACCCTTAAAACAAAATTCAAATAATAAACCAAATAGTACACATTTCTCAGAAAGACACCTATTCCCTTTCTAAATGATGCCTCTCTTCATTTGCCTTTGTTACTCCATTATGCAGAACTGTATGTATATTTATAGAAGAGATTCTCAGTTAACTGTCATTTTCTGATGAATTCTTGAAATTCTCATTTAACGGGGCAGGCATGGGTACAAGCATTTCCCAACGGGGCGGGTATGGACCGTGAGAATTCAACCTGTCCTGGGTATGGGGCGGGGATGGATTTGTCAATAGTCAGATGGGGCCGGGACAGGTTTAGGCAAACCCTTGATATACCCACCCCATTGCAATCCCTAACACAAAGTGGACAAAGTGGGGGGTGGCACTGCCAGAAGGTAGATTGAAAAAAATTATAATTATTTAAGATTTGAAAGTAAAAAATTCACAAAAAGCTTAACACTCGAGGATGCACAGTAAAAGTGACAAAAGCCTAAAGGATATTAACCATAATAAATATTTTTACAAAATTTTATAGTTGGCCTGATGCTAACCCACCTATTACAGGGGGAAAAAATGCACACGAAGATATTAATGGCCACATAAAAACAACTAATGAGAAAAGTAGGACAAGCTAGAACATGAATAAGAAATACCTGTGGAAGTTTTTTACGGAACACAACATCCAATCTTGCATCAAGTGTGTTCTCACACACAATTTTCCCATCTCGAGAAGCCAACACTACACCTCCAGAGCTGAAAAACCAAAAGAGTATTATTGGAGGGTTTTTCGATTATCATTCTTACAATAAACATTTCTTTTTTCGTTAATATTCAATAACAGATTGGATATTAGGAAAGCTAAAATCCAGATGGCACATCAGCACGTGAAATTTGACTAGCTGCAGCCAGTCAACTGCAGCACATAATATAAACAATGGTGAATGATTGTAGTCAATTTTTTTAAGCATTGATTTATAACTGAATAAAAATATTACCAGAAGGGACCATGGGCATGATGATGGGAAGGAGCAGGCGGAAGGTAGATGTTGTCAATTATAATCTCAGGTTGATGAACATTTGCTTTTTCTGCATATTCCTCCTTTGCTGAGTCCAAAACTGACTCAACCAAATATAGGTCATCTTTCCGACAACGCAATAAGACAGCTGGCTCTTTTAGTCTAAGCAAACTCTGCAATACATAAGGGAAACCTTGCAGCACCAGCTAAATGACCAAATTATGAAAAATAATTTCTATCCATAAAGCATGCTAATAAAACATAAGCTTTAAAACGTGGGTTCTAAAATCCCACGAAAGTAGCATAAATCCATTTCGCTTTTCAAGCAAAAATTCATCTTCAAGACTGATGCTGATACATGACTTCGTGTATTCATGAGTAAAAACTTCAAGAACTTAATAAATTACCCGCATTGCATTTTCCCCTTTCTGATGATGCTTAAAATTATAGTAGTTTCTGATGCTTCTTCAACCCTCTCATATTCCTCTTCTCTCTTTTCCCAAAATTTAGGTGAGAGGAAGGATCTAAATTTTTACAACCATAGTGAAGTGTGAAACCTTTTCACAAGAATTTTGGAGAGCCATATCTAGATTCATAAACTGGGAAAACCATAAACCAAATCCACACATTCCATAACAGTATCAATTTGAAACTGACTACATCATTTCTTCAATTTTGTAACAAGGTAATCATGTTTTTTAAATATGTTCTCCACCAACAAAAATAAAATAAAATAAAAGTATACAAAAAAGGAATTATCAAAATTAAATAAGTTCCTACTGACCTGAACAACAAGATCTTTCAAAAGCCTAATTAAATAAGTTTCTACTGACCTGAACAACAAGATCTTTCAAAAGCCTTTTATACACATGGTGATCATGGCTCACATGCAGAAGTTCCTTTGAAGCAGCCTCTTTCATGTAACTAACCAAGTCATCCTGAGCTTGAAGAACTTTGATTCGAGAAGAATTGAGCTGCATAGAGTACTCGCTGTGATAAATCAATATAAAGTGTTAGTGTATATAGTAACCAAATTTAATTATGTATATGGATAATGACGACAACAATGATAAGAAGTGCTCGCCATAAAACTTTATCTTTTACCCATATGAATTACCTATGATAATATAACTTATTGTGACATAGTGACATACTAACATTGTCACCTAAACCCATTTACTTGATTTCTCCCACTTCAAAATAAAGAAATCCACAAGCCTCCTAGATTCAAAGGTCTTGCTTTAAAAGTTTCAAAGTCAATGTTTCCTAGAAGATTCCTAAGATGATGATGATGATGATGATGATGATGATGAAAATAAGAAAATGTTTACCATTCAAATTAGAGTATTAGACCAAAAGAAGACATTTAACAGAAGGTAGAATACAATAACAGAAGGAATCAAAACATTATACAAGGGATGTTAATTTGATATAACAACAAAGTGACAACATTCTTATTACTGGGAGAGCCTCAGTTAAAAGTTAAAATGATTAGCAACCTCACAAACTAATTTAGATCGGGTCAAATGCCGGAAGAAGTTACCTGAAAGGCTTAAACAACAAAATGATATGCAATAAGAAACATTGGTAAAAAAGAGTTACCAACTTAAACAAAATGGACAAGCCATGTGTTCCAAATATTGATCAACAAGTACGCAATAATGATTGGTATTCTATTCATGACCCTTAATGTATTCCAAAGTTAGGCCCATCGAGATAAGCTCTCCCTCCTCTTTTTTCTTTTGTATTTTTTTCCCTTTCTTTTTTGGTGCTTTGTTAATAGTCTGTAATTGAAATCAAATTTTGTCAACATATCTGCCTCATTTTGGTCTAGTTTCTTCTTTTTCTGATGTAAGGCTTCCTGATCCACTTTGAATTGAATCCATATTGGACAACACAATAATCTGAAACCCACATACAGCAATTCAAAACACCCTCGAAAAACAACAAATAGTTTACGAAATTTTAATTGTGAATATTATCCATTCATGTGATCGGGGTGGGGTGAGCCAATCAAACAATTGTCTCAAGGGGAAAAACTAAGTAAAGATATTGAATCTCCATCTATCCCCTCCCAACCCAAAATAAAAGATAGCATTCTATATAAATTTTAAAAATTATTAATGATGCAATTCGGTTGTTATGAAACTTGCTAACTTTTTTTACTAACGGGCCGTCACATGGAACACAAACTAAAGGAAGTAATGAAACCAAAGAGCAATCTAGATCTAGCTGACACTATTCAACATTATGAGACATTGTTGTCTTTGCATAAAAGTATAAAAACTGAGCCATTAAATAACATACTCCACAATCAGTTCAGTCCAACCAGGAAATCAATAAAAACCAGGTTATATCACCTGACTTCAGCCTATTCCAACTAGAAAGGTTGACAATTGTAGAAATATATAACATGTGTTTTGATGCATATATATGTACGTATAAAGAAAACAGCTCAGCACATTACATTTTCTTTCGAACTTCAACTTGCTTCTCTTTACGCTCGTATTCTTGTCTAATCTTCTTTCTCTCAGCTTCAACCAATTGTAACTTCTCAATGTTAAATTCCTGCAATAAACATGACAAATGCATATAACTCCTCTATATATCTACACCTATATGCAGCTTCTATAAATCTACCACACAAAATATAATATGTATATACGAGATTTGCAAATAATTTGGAGTTCCAGCACGTCCATATATATTCTACTCCTATACACGTCTATCCATACATCAATCACATAACATATATATATATATGCATAAAAAGTATATAAAGGAACCAGATTTGCACAGAATTTGGAGTTCGAGTAGGAATTATGTCACCTATATATCTACACCTAGCCTTAGCTCAACCTTTTCCATTGTGAGGAGGTCACTGGTTCAAAACAAGGAAACAGCCTCTCTGCATTCGGTGGTAAGACTGCTTAAATCTGAGCCTCTCTCAGACCCCGCAATGGGGGGAGCCTCGTGTCCTGGGTACACCTTTTTTATATATATCTACACCTATACGTATCTGTCTATCTACACATCTTTGACTCACACAAGATACATATGTAATTTTGGAGTTCCAGTAGGAATGAATTCCTGTATTTATCTACACTACAACTACAAGTATCTGTCTATTTATATATCATTGATTCACACATCATGTATATATCTATATAATGGAACCAGATTTGCATATAATTTGGAGTTGAAATAGTAACTTATGTCCTGTATATATCTACATCTATACGGATCACTCTATCTTCATATCTGTGATATACATATAATATACATGTGTATGTAATGAAACAAGATTTGCATATAATTTGGAGTTGAAGTGAGAATTGGCTTACTTCTTCGGCCGAAACAGAGATCTCGTTGGACTTCTCTTCCGCTTCCTGGCGGATGAATCTCACCATCTGCTGGATCTGCTTGGTGACATCTGAATCGTTCATTTTCGGATCCGATTGGACAAATATCAAAGATTCGGTGGTGATCAGAGACTCGGCAGATCGTTCTTATATGAGAAGAAGAAAATAGAGAATTGAAGCTTTAAATATCTTTCTCCAGGATGAATCACCACTCCTTCTTACCACTTTTTATTACAATTGCAGATGATACTCTCCCCGTCCAAAAATAAAAAATAAAAAATTAAGTGTCTCGTTTAAATTTTCTAATATTACTAATTTAACATTCTTATATTAAACTTATAAAAATTAAACCAACATATCACTGTGGACCATTAAGAATAAAATTGTTAATTCATTCACCACAAATATAATTAAAAAACATTCTTTTAAAAAATTATATTCTCAAAAAAGGACATTTATTGGAACAGAGGAATTACTTTTAAAAACAAAATTTTCTATAACTAACCTTTTATTTTATTCTGTATGGTGACAATGCTTGAAGTTTGGGTTTATTATAAACACATATTACCTGAACAAGAATGGCCACAAATCGGATTGGATTAGGCATTAATCCTAATTTGATCCGGTCCTAATAGATTGAAAAATCTAAATTCGTCATCGATCTATGAAATTAACCAATCGAATTCATAGATTGGAATTTTTCCAAATAGCTCAATATTATTATTTTTTAACCCCAACTCAATTGACAAAATTTCAATTTATCAACATTAATTAAGATATTTAAATTATTATTAACTAATTTATTCTTAGAGACCATTAAATTATCATTATTTTAATTTAAAAGACCATTAACTAAAACATTCTTAAAATATATATATTACAAATTAAATTACGGATCAAATTGGATTTTTAACAACCTAATTCGTAATCCAATCCGATCCGTTACGAATCTTATATTATTGAATCCCCCACGGGTCCACAAGCCTAACAATCTGATCTGACATTAGATCAAACCGGACTCACAAATTGACCGATCAAATGCCCACCCCTAAACCTGAACCATTTTTTTAATAATGCCACTCTTCAAATTAAATAAAGTTAACAAAAACACTTAAATTTACCTTTTTAACCTTTACAAGTTTTATAAAATTAGCAAAATTGTCATTTACTCGTGTTTACTATTAAAAAGGGAGGTGTTTTATTATTAAGGAAGGTATGTGTAATTTCAAAAAGAGTTAAATACTCTACACCTCCTCAAGTTTGCCTTTATTACTCATATATTAAACTAATAATAAAAAAAATAAAAAGGCCTAAACCTCCCCTCAAGTTTGGTAAACATTGCCTTACCCCCTTCCACTAGTTGATACTTGATAGTTAGAAAAGTAATAAGTCAACTAATTAAAAAAATATAATACCAAAACTACCCTTCCCAAATTTAAGTAATTTTAATTTGGACAGAAATATCAACCTAAATTAACTTAGATATATCATTTTAATTTAGTCATAAGTCATGTATTAAAGAAGTGCATCTACTATATGTGTAAGAATCTGGAATACATCCATGGGCATTTCACAAAAAATCTAAAAAATAATATCTAGTGTTCACAATTTGATTTCGTTCATAATTTCTTCTTTAAATTATTCCAATGAAATTATTATGAAATTGATTAATATTATATATATATATATATATATATATATATATATAGATTTATTTAAAGAACAATACTTATGTCTTCAATAGTGATAATCTACACCATATTGATCGTTGATGTGGACCAATAATAAATTAACACATTTTATTTTGATTACCAAAAAATAGATGGTAATCAATCTTTGATTTGGTAATTGGGTATCTACCACCATATTAAATATGATAATTAAAGACGACATGCCTATTTATTATTGGTTCACATCAAGTATGGTGTTGATATTCACTAGTAAGAATCTAAGTATTGTTCATTTTTAAATCAATCCAATGAAATTATTATGAAATTGATTTTGAATCATGATATACAATTTAGCTAATTAAGCCAACAATATAAATCAATAATTACTTCATATATTTTATATAATGTTCGTAAGATGATGTCACATTTTTTCTCTATTTATTTATTCTATTTTTCTTTTGCCTTCACCTTGTCTATGAATTGAATTGATTAGAAACACTAAAACATTAGTTAGCATGAAGCATATGATTAGCTTTCCCAATCATATGCCTCAATTAAACATTTAATAATTGTTAATATAATTTCACAATATATTTAATACATGTCTCAATTAAACATCCAACTTAATGGAGAATGAAACTAAAAAAGACAGGTCCACGTCATTTATGGTCTAGTTGGTCTCAAACTCATTTATAACCTCATACATCCCATCTTCACTGGTCATGGATAGTTTTGGTATTATATTTTTTAAATTAGTTGACTTTTGACTTTTTTAACGGTGAATTAACGAAAGGGTTGATGGGGCAAAGTTAATCAAACCTGAGGGAGTGTTTTTTTTTTTTTTTTTTTTTTTTTTTTTTCACTAGTACAATCTGCCAGCAATAAAGGCAAACTTGAGAGAGTGTTAGAGCATTTAACTCTTTCAAAAATCATACAAAATGTCTCTATAATTATGACAAATCATAGCAGAAGTCCACTAAGTCACACAAAGCAATAAAATCTAAACTTTGGTAAGATTGGGAACGCCTGTACACTTGTCTGATGTTATGTGTATAAAATAAAAAATGCATTGAACTGTAAGTAACCTTATTTCTTTTATATTAAAAGATATATATTATTAATATGAATTAAAATACAACAGTTATATCATAATTTTTATTTTCAAAGAAATGGGACCTGAAATTTTATATATCTATTCTAAATCCTTAAAAAGAGATATTTTATTTTTCATATATGAAATGATTCCTCTAAAAAATTATAAAATAATAAATATATTAATTAATAAAAGTAAAATTAATAGTATCTATATATTTTGTTTGCAAATATATATGTATCTATACAATGTACACTTATCTAATATTTCTAGACTTTAAATAAGAAAAAAAAAAATGAATAATGTGGTAATGATATGTTTATTTTTATTTTTATACAATGTAGGTGTATTCAGTATTCTTTTCATTTCTAACATTTTATATTCATTACTAAGCATATTTATCAAATATTCTTTATTATTGACAAAGAACTTTCTTAGACTTAGAAGTCCATTTTAAAATTACAAAAAAAAATTCAACCAAACAGGCCCTTAGTTATTTCTAACAATAATAAATGTGCATGTGGTTGTCATAAATTCAATAAATGAGATTCATAAATTGAAGTCATGAATTGAAATTTTTTATTTCACCTTAAATGAGATTCATAACATAAATTGAAGTCATGAATTGAAATTTTTTATTTCACCTATTATAGAAAGATTTGCTTTCAGCTTGACACCACTAAATTGTGTTACTTTAGATGTCCATATAATTTACTTAAAAAAACAAAAAAAAATTCCATTTTGTACTAAGCAGGCATGCTTACAACAATCTGACCCTCAGTCTAAGCTCAGGCCTTCACGCTTCTCTGTCTCGTTCGACAACGCCTCGCCGAAATCATGGTTTAACTACCGGCAGTCGACGACTATCGACCGTTCCCACTTTCCGGTGAGTTTTTCCCCATTTACCCTCCTCCTCATCCTCCTCTCCCTCTATATATAGACATATATCTTTAGAATTTAACTTGGATGAAAATGATAAACTGTTCAGTTATAAGAAAATGATGGTAAGAAAAGAAATTGAATATTTGAATTAAATTGTTGCAAAGATATGGATAGAATAGATGATCAGTCACTCTTCTATGCTTGTTTTTCTGAATCATCCTTTGTTTTTATGTTAACTTGTCATTTTTTATATGTTGAAGATAAACTAGTAGGCATAAATAATTCTTGCATACCAACTGTTTGATACTATGATCCATCGAACATTGTCAAGCACACCATAGCCAGTTTAATTCTAACCCAATCCAGTGCAGATCATTTTAACTCTGATAGTTGTTTCTGATTCCACTTTTGATCACCTGTCTCTACCACAGCACAGGACCCTACGTCAATGTTTTTAAGAAGAGGCACTACGCTCACATCGCTGGTGAGCCCTCGTGTTCTTTCAAGGTTAGAAAGTTTTTCTTCGAGGGCCTTTTCGGTTCTTGACAAGGACAAGGAAGCAACTCAGTCTTCATTGGTTAATCAGAAGGGCACTACTTCTGCTGACTATGATGACAAAATTCGGCTTTCGCCATTGTTTTTGCACGGTGGACCTAATACGGAGGAGGGTTGCAATATTGAGCTTGTTGATACTGAGACGTGGCGAATTTCTTCTTGTTTAGCCGAGGTGTGGCGAGAAACTGACCGGGCAACAAAAGCAAAGGTTTTGTTTAAGGAAGCAGATGAAGTGGTTGATCATGCACCTCGGAATAATGATGACCCGGATTTTGATGAGATTGAGGATATGAGAATTCGTGGAAATCTCTTTTATAAGTTGGACAGGGATTCCAAAGAATTCGAGGAATACAATTATGACTTCCATCGCAGAAAATCTTCAAAGAGTAGGAGGGATGATCAGACAGAAAACAAAAAGGTGAACGCAAGTCGTAAGTTGGCCTCCAAAGTTGAAGAATCTTCAAAGAAGAAAGATGAGCGGAATTCAAGCAGAAAGAAGGATAACCTGTGTCAGAACTTGGACTCTGCGGGTGAAAGGCTGTCAAAGCTCGTTAAGAACGTAAATCTTAATTCTCCGCTTTGTGAAATAGAAAATTCTTGTATTGGAAAGAAAGTAAGGACTCCCAGTTTCAATCAGCTCACAGCCCCTTACCACGAACCATTTTGCTTGGACATTTACATATCTAAAGGATCTGTACGTGCCTGCATTATTCACCGGGCAACTAGCAAGGTCGTTGCTGTGGCACATTCCATTTCAAAGGACATGAAATTTGATCTGGGCTCAACTAAGAATGCAGCTGCTTGTGTTGCCGTTGGAGAAGTTCTAGCTCAAAGAGCCTTGGCTGATGATATCCATAATGTAGTCTATACGCCAAGGAAAGGGGAGAAATTGGAGGGGAAGCTTCAGATTGTACTTCAGTCCATCATTGATAATGATGTTAATGTGAAGGTTAAGATTAAGCAAAGAAGAGTAAAGAAAGCCGGACACTGGCAGTCATCTACCGGTTAGGAACACCTTTGCCCAGCCTGATTGTTTCATGGGGTCCAAGAACGAACTTCTTGGTCGTTTTCCTCTGTATTTGGAATATGGTTTGATTGCGCCCAATGAAAGTAATTTTCTTGAAGAAGACAAGTGCGAGAATTTCTAGTTACAACAATGTCTTTGAGTTGGCGAATTTCAACATGAATGTTCCACTTGAACCTGTGCATAGTTTTTGTCCAGAATAGAGGAGAATGGAAGGTTTTGTTGCAGTGGTCATTTGTTGTAGATGTGGATTGTTGAATCTAAAATGCATTATGCATGAATAAAATGAAATCCTTTTTCTTCAAAGTGTGCATCTTATTAGTCAGTCAAGGTGGGATTCCAATACCATTAATGTCTTAGTTTATCCATCATTTTATTTGGAAAGATTTATTTCTGTAATCAAATCCTAAACACTGCAGTTAAATGCCATCTGAGAACTCTGGGAGGTAATGATAATGCCAACATAAGGGTTGACAGTTCATCAGAGTTTCAACTTTCAAGAGACAAACAGCCTTTCCATTTCCTACCAAACCAAGCCAAACAGTCTTCCATTTCCTACCAAACCATGCCAAACAGCCTGCTAAGTTAGGATTCTATTATTTGCATTCAGAAGTGTTCATGTGTCACTTAGATTTTGCCTTGATGTACTTAGGTCAGAAGTGTTCATTTGATCTGTAAATTCGATTCGATCCAATTTGATGCATTCAGATCAGATCAAGTTTTTAGTCTCTTGGTTCGATGGATTCATAAATTAGGAATTCATAAAGATCGAATTAGTCTCCTAAATTTGATCTGACCCAATCCATGAAGAATATATTATATATTAAATATATAATAATAATAAGCATTAACCTTTACTCTTTGCACACTAACAAGCAGCGGCTATTTCAGTATATTCCATTTAAAAAATATATATATTTTTCTTATCTGAAATTTCAATTCCACAACAGCATCCCTTGCTTATTGAAAAGAAATCAAATGCATTAACCCTATGCTTCTCTGTTACTAGCAGTGGTCATAGTAGTCATACCATTTCACCAAACAAGAGCTTCATGTAATAATTCTATTAATGCTGGGCCAATGTAACTTTAGATGCTCCAAACAATATACAGTACAACACATTATAAGTACAATAAGGGCATGTTTGGTTGCTTCCATACACATCCATGAAGCTTTGATTCAATTTTTTAGGAAGTAATGGTTGGCAAAAAAATAGTAGAAGATCAGTGAAAATTGCACAAAGAATAGTTTACACTTGACAATTCATCATCTTTCATGTTTCCATATTAAAATCAAAACGAAGTACACAGATGAAGTAAAGGATTCATCAACCTACATATATTTCAACAAAAATAATAATAATAATTTCAAGAATTCTATCGATAAGGTGTTCGAGCTCATCCGTGCAAGCAATACAAGTAAAAATACATAAAGAAATTTTTAAAAAGTTGAGCAATTAAAACCTAGAGGAAAGAAGCACTAAACCTGGTGATATCACAAAGATTAAATAATATACACGAGCCTTATTTAAACAAACAATCTCAATATCTATAACACAACTCATCCACACACAAAATTTGCCGTTGCTGGTGCAATAATATATGTGAAAAATTATCCCGTTATTATGCCCGCTAGAACATCGCTTTTACCTCGTGCAAAGATTGTGTAGACCAAACGGATTGCATCAAGCCATCCATCCAAGGATTCCCATGAATCAGCTACCTGAGGTATCAAAAGGTTAGTCCTAGTTTTCCTAATGTTTTGATAAAGAAAAAACAGAACGTCCTTTCTTCTCCTTAAACAAAAAAATTAATATACTTGTCCTAATTCATTGAAAAACATTAAACAACAAAATTAGAAAGTAAGATTTGCCTACATATTCATCAGGCAAATGCTGAGATAAACTACCAATGAAATAAATATAGCAGAGTTAATATACTTGTGCTTGCTATGTTTGCAATTCCTTTTTTTAACTATAATTATATAAACAGAGAGAGGTGAGAAATAAAAATGGAAATTAAATGCATATCTTTTCTTAGGGTTATTAATATGGGGTGATATGGTCATTTCAAATTCAGATATTTTTTCAATGAAAAACTTTTGTAAATGAAAGGCAATAACGACACTTTACACTAAAATTTAATGGCCATTATGACAACTTTGAAAGGGTCGGTGTAGATTTTTGCAAACATAGCCTACATGTGTAATCATGGTAAACCTCAGTCGTATCAATGCAGTTTACCCAAAAATTAAAGAGTAAAGTGCAGAAAACACCCCTATAATATGTTCACAGTGCTTATCACAAAACACCCTTAAAGTATAAATTTGTATCTTTAATTTTATTTTTTTAATTATATATTTAATGAAAAATGATAACTATATTACCAACGGGCCAGTGACTCAGCGGCGGCATATACGGGTGACCAACTAAGAAAAATAAATAAATTGTTAACCATATTAAATTTTAATTGGGAATAATTTTTTCCTTTTTATAATTATAAAAAGAACTCAGGTATTCATTCCATATGATATATTGTTCATTAATCTGACATATGTGAGAACAAATATAAATTTATTTTTTTGAGATATTTTTTTTCTCCATTTGACGAGTAAAAAAAATACATATATTAGAACTTTCCCATTTATGAGTGGCACTAAAGTACTAGAAAACATAAAACAGTCAACTCAAAGAAAGATAATACACTGTAAGGGGTAATCTATAGAGAGATCCTTAAAAGTGGGTTTAATATAGTTAATGTGCACATAACACCCCTCTACTATGAGATTATTAGCATGGGATAAGTGCAGAAAACACCACTAATGTTTACTCTGCGTAGCACTTTGCCCCATTATTTTAAAAAATGTGTTTAAAACCCCCTTAATGTATTAACATTATGCGAAAAGACCCCTCAAAATACTTTTTGCAGAAATTTAACTTAAAAGTAATGCTGTAATTCTCATTTTGCCCTTTTACTCTTCTGAAAATGCCCAAACCAAACCATGCATTTATCAAACCTGACATGGCGAAGTTGCTCCAGCAACTCCAGCAAGCTCCAAGCTTTCCCGACCCATTTCGGCAAAGCCCGAGCTACACTTGTGCTCCATATCATACTCAAGTCCGGCGAACCCAAGTTGCAGAGGTCTATGCAGTACCACGACCTGCATGCTTTGAAGTTCGCCAGACAGTTGGGTTCACCGAAGTGGGACAAGGTGCCTTGAAGCTTGTCAGTGTGAACTAGAAAAGAGTTTCAAACGTGGGCTCGCTGGTGTGAACTGGAACTGAGCTTCGAAGTGGGCTCGTCGACAAGCATGAGCGGGAAGCTTCACGAAATTGGGTCTCTCAACGCCGGAGTAAACTTGGTCTGCTCCAGCAAGCCATTAGGCGACCCATTTTCGGCGTGTACCAACCAACCTAGAAGCAAGGTGCGAACAACAGTGAGCTTCACTCACTCCGGCGTGCCACAACTCAAGCGAGACTAGAGACCAACCAAACCATAGAATACCAACACCTGCATGTTCTTCTCCGGCGACAAACCACTCCGGCGAGCTTTCCACTTCATCCATCTACGTCAAACCCAGCTGCAACAAGTGACCAAACAGCGAGTTGCAAGCTACCATTCAAGTTTGGCATGCTCTAGTTCTGTCCGACAACACTACGAGCAACGATGACCCACGGCGAAGGCAATCGAATCCGAAAGCTCCAAGTTTTCACTCTCTTCGTCCCAATTTAAATGTCACTTATGGGCAGTAGTAATTTTTTAAGGGAACATGTGAGACATACATTGCCTGCCTGAAAAATTACTAACTTGCCCTTTTAAGTTTTGAATATTGAAGTTTGAAATTTTAAACTCAAAGGACATATATGGAAAAATGTGAAATATATTGTTTGAAAAAAGAAAGTGGACTATTATTTTGGGGGGCAGATAAAAAAGGAAATCGTGACACTTATTTTGGGACGGAGGGAGTATTTGCATGAACCACAACGGTAACAGCGACTGAATCAAAAGCATTCTAGTCAGGTCCGGTGAAGCTCTACACTGGTGTACTTCAGGTCCCGTGACACCAACGTCTCTCAGCTCCGACGAGTTTCCCTCTGTTCAGACTATCGTCCAGACTACAAGCTACTAGACCCACAAGCTCCAGTGAAGTACACAGTTTCAGTTCCGGCAACCACACCTTAGTTCGCCAAGCTTCTACCCGACGGTGAACTAAAGCTTCAACAAGAAGTTTTGGAGGGAACTCGCCGGGGTGAACTGGGTTTCGCTACTTGGAGCTTCATTGGAAACAATGGAAGCTTCTGTTCGAAGCTTGAGAAAGATGGATTCGAAAAAATCCGAGTAACATGCCGGAAAATCCAAACCCAATATGCGGTAAGAGAATTTGGGAAAACACATTCGGAGGCAAAGTCTTTGAGGAAGAATTGGAAGAGTTTATTGGATAGATTGTCAGTGGGGCTCGTCGGAGAAGGAACTGGGTTTTGGAGAAATAGTGGCGGTGGTACCCTTTTTAGTCATTTCACAAAATGCTATTTTTTTTTTTTATATAAATTTTATAAAATGTGTCAAGGGCATTTAGTCCAACTCTATCTTAAGACTTAAATGTGTAAGTAGGACCTATTAGCACAAATGTTATGGTTTAGGGGTGTTTTTCGCACGTGGGGTGTGATACGCACTGTAAGCATACTATAGAGGTGTTTTCTACACTTTGCCCTTATTAGCATACACACCCCATTGGGCATTTTCGGAAGAGTAAAAGGGCAAAACGGGTATTACAACATTACTTTACATCTTCTTTCTGCAAAAAGTAATTTGAGGGGTGTTTCCGCTCAATTTTAAAAGAATAAGGGGGTTAATAGCACACTTTTTAAAATAGGGTATGCGGAGTATACTCTAGGGGTGTTTTCTGCACTTTACCCAAAATTAAATAGCAAAATCATTTTAAACTAAGTAAAAAACAGAGAAATATTTTTAATTTTTTTCTGGTTTCAGGTCAAAGCTCGGTACACAAAGATCCTTAAGGGGTTACTAATAGGTCCGGTGTCTCAAAGTTAAAATTCTAGGGGCAGAATTTTAGCCAACAGATTTTCAAATTAAACTTTCATTTGAATCTACAGCAGTAAACAAAAAGAACGTGCCAGCAGACTTCAATTCCTTAAAAAGTGGTTGACCAAAGCTAAGACGGAAAATTGGGTTGCAGACGAATCATACCGACATCATAGCCGAGAAGGTTTACTAGAAACAAACTAACCCCCAGTTCTAGTCATAAGCACTGGTGACTGCGATTGGAAGAGAGGGCTATAACATAAAAATACGAAGAAAAAAAAAGGTATTGACTTATTTCAAAAAGTGATGGAGATTAAAGTTTGCAATATTGATTGACCTGTTTGTTCATTTTCCCGCTCAGGTTTCAAAGCAGTACTACACATACTCAAGAATGTAGATGATGCATTCTCTTCACATGGCTAAGTAATGACACTATGAACATGGGATATAATGCAATATTTGGTGGAGTTGGGAAAAATTAGAACGGAGAAGCGAAGGATACTTACTAAGAAAACTGGCCCATGAATTGTATCAATGCAGAGGCCTGCACCAGGTGGTAAAGTCAGATCAGCACATGCTGATATAGAGACAATATCTGGAACATCTACTCTAATAGCCAATCCATTTATATTCATTGTATCTCCTGATTTGGCAGAAAGGCTTCTTGACATCTGTCTTTGCTCAACGTTATTAAGCTGCAAGTAAAGTTGAATTCAGTCACAATCTATTGCTTCATAAATAACATTAATTTCTTTGGGAAGACAATGATAGTTTTTTTTGCAAAAACTGAACATACAGAAAATAAATTGCTTCAGAGATTTTTCAATTCCAGTGGGAAAATAAACTTATAACAAGTTCCTAGGCAGAGGTATAGCCCGACTTTGATGGGAGATAAAAAGAAATATCAATATCAATATCAAAACATGATGAACAATAAAAGATGCTATGTGATATATTATTTGGTTAATTTTGAGGTTCATTGCGTTTTGTGTATTCTTCAGGAGTGCTCCCCTCTTGAGCGCCTTTAACGAAAACTTAATTATCAAAAAAAAAATGAGGTTCACTATGGCCCTTGTTTACTGGTTGTTAGAATGTTTTATATATACACACACACACACGTGTTGGGTCATTATGTAATTATATAGAGTTGATAGGGCCCTCGTGTTATTAAGTGATACTTGTTCTCTTTATATAAGCCTACATAGGCTTATTAGGTTTAGTGTGTTGAAATACAAGAAATGGTTGCTCTCTCTCTCTCATATGATTTTGAACATGGTATCAGAGCAACACGATCATGGGTGTGAGAGTCTGTAATTGGGTTGTTCTTGTATAAGATCGGCATCGCGATTGTGGTGTTGGTGGTCTCTGCTGGCAGTTCCTCATTTGACCAGATCCGGACCGTTTGACCAGATCCGGCCCGTTTGACCAAATCTGGCCTGTTTGCCTAGATCCGGCCCGTTCGACAGGTTCGTCCAGAATACAAATTCTACAATTTTTTTTTTTTTCTTCTCTGTTTTGCTGAATTCAACTTGGCGTTCAATTCTGATTTGCTTTCTCCCACGTCCAGTCTCCATTCTCCCATGACTTCAGTTAAACTCAATGGGAAGAATTACATACTGTGGGCTAAATCTGTTGCAATTTTTCTCAAAGGCAGAGGTCTTGGTACTCATCTGACTAAAGATAAACTCAAGGAAACTGATGCTTCTTTTGCTGCATGGGAAAAGGAAGATGCTCAGATCATCTCTGTGATGATAAACAGTATTGAACCCCAAATCAGTTCAACTTTACTTTATTTGGATACTGCCAAGGAGATATGGGACAGATTGCAGCAATTGTATTCTGGGATAATATCACTCGAGTTTATGAGCTTTGTGAGCAGTACTTCAATCTTGAACAAGGTAATCACAGTAAAGAAGAGAATTATTCCAAAGTTATGGGAGTCTGTGAGGAGCTGAATATGTATTAGCCCATTACTGCTGATGTTCGAAGTATGCAACAACAGCGTGAGGACTTTAATGTTGTCCGTTTTCTTACTGGTTTGTCATCAGCATACGAGTCTTTTCGTGCACAGATTATGGGCAGTCCCACACTTCCATCTCTTGCTGAGGTGTTTTCTCGACTTCAGCATGCTACACTTGCAAGTGACACCTCCAATTTGAATATTGGACAGAGTGGTGAGCGTTTAACATTGGTAGTTTCAAAGGATGAACATAATGCTTATCATGGAAGTCGTGGGGGACGCTCCACACGTGGTGGTCGTGATTCACGGGGAGGACGTGGCCGTGGCAGGGAATCAAGAAAATGTACTCATTGTGGTCTTTCTAATTATACTGTGAACTTTTGTTGGGACCTTCATGGCAAACCATCTAGTTATGTAAATCAAGTTTCCTCCTCTCCAAATGATGTTGCTTCTGGATCTCACAACATAGCTGAATCAGACACAGTCCCTGTTCCACGGGATGAGTATACTCAGTTTTTGTCTTATAAGCAAGCATCTAATTCATCTTCCACGGCTACCTTTGCCCAGTCAGGTACTGCACACACGTGCCTATTGTCTTCCACTCGTAGTCCTTGGATCATAAACACTGGAGCATCTGATCATATGACTAGATGTTCTTCTCTTCTATCTGATTTTAATTCTGTACCTCTTTCTTAAAGTGTTACTCTTGCTAATGGTTCATCCACTGAGGTTTCAGGTTTGGGGATAGCTCAACTTAGTGATTCCCTGTCTCTCTCGTCTGTTTTACATGTTCCTCAGTTTCCTTTTAATTTAATGTCTATCAGTAAGCTTACTAAATCTCTCCAGTGCTTTGTTACATTTTATCCTACTTCTTGTGTGTTTCAGGATCTCAAGACGAAGAAGAAGATTGGTACGGGGCATGAAGCTGGTGGCTTATATTATTTTGATTTGGAACCTTATCCTGTGGCTCTTCAGTCTTCTCTGTCTCCATTCCAGTGGCACTGTCGTCTTGGTCACCCGTCACTTCAAGTTTTGCAGCGTCAAATTCCTAGTCTTAGTCATTTAAAATTCTTGTCATGTGAAGTTTGTCAACTTAGTAAGCACCATCGCGTGTCTTTCAAGTCTAGGGTTAATAATCGTGTCTCTAGTCCCTTTCATTTGGTTCATTCAGATGTATGGAGTCCAATAAAGCATTCTTCAATAAATAAATTTCATTATTTTGTGACATTTGTGGATGATTATTCTCACCTGACTTGGTTGTTTCTAATGAAAGATCGTTCAGAGTTATTTTTAATTTTTCAAAAATTTCGAAAAGACATCAAAACTCAGTTTGGATGTCCAATTCGCATTCTACGTTCTGATAATGCTAAAGAATATTCTTCAACTCCCTTTGATACATGTCTTAGTGATAAAGAAATTATTCATCAAAATTCATGTGTTTATACTCCTCAACAAAATGGAGTTGCAAAACATAAGAATCGACATCTCTTAGAAGTAACTCGTGCTCTTTTGTTTCATATGTGTATGCCTAAACGGTTTTGGGGTGATGCGGTTCTTACTGCCCGTCATCTTATTAACCGTATGCCGTCATCTGTATTAGATGGCAAATCTCCACATTCTATTTTATTTCTTGATTCTCTCTTGTTTTCTCTTACTCCTAGAGTTTTTGGATGTGTATGTTATGTCCACAATCTTGGCCCTGGTTTTGATAAACTAGACCCACGTGCCACAAAGTGTGTATTTCTTGGCTACTCTCGTTCTCACAAAGGTTATCGCTGCTATAGTCCTGTTTCTCAATGGTACTTTATTAGCGCGAATGTAACCTTTTGTGAGTCCATCCCATATTTTTCAGACACTGATTCACTTCTTGATATCACTCTTGAGTCACCTCTTTCTGCAGTTCCTCTTCCCTCACCTTCTCTTCAACCTAGATCTCTGGTTCCTTTGCCCGCCCCGTTATGGGTGTACACTCGAAGACCAAAGCCATCTGCTGTCGTGCCTCCTCCATCGTCTTCAGAGTCTTTGGATCCAACAGATTCCTTGCCTATTGCACTTCATAAAGCTACTCATTCGTGTGTCACTAATCATCGTATTGCTCAATATGTCTCTTATAATTCCTTATCGCCATCATTCTCATGTTTTTCCTCTCAGTTGTCTACTACATTTGTTCCTAAGACTGTGCAGGATGCTTTGTCTGATTCGGGCTAGAGGAAAGCCATGCAAGATGAAATTGATGCTTTGCATAAGAATGGCACATGGAATCTTGTTCCATTACCTCCAGGTGCCAAACCTGTTGGTTGTCGCTAGGTATATACTGTGAAGTATCTTCCAGATGGGTCCGTTGAGCGTTTAAAAACACGTCTTGTTGCCAAAGGTTATACCCAGACTTATGGTATTGACTATGATGAGATGTTTGCCCCCGTTGCTAAGATTTCTTCTATTCGTATTTTGATTTCTCTTGCTGCTAATAGAAATTGGCCTCTGCTTCAGTTAGACGTTAAAAATGCTTTTTTGCATGGTGACTTAGCAGAAGAGGTTTATATGGAGCAACCACCTGGGTTTGTTGCTTAGGGGGAGTATCTTCACACTGTTTGTCGCCTTAAAAAGGCCCTGTATGGATTGAAACAATCTCCACGGGCTTGGTTTGAAAAATTCTTTGCGGTGGCATTAAAATTTGGTCTTAACAGATGTCAAACCGACCATTCGGTGTTTCACCAGTGCACTAAGGCTGGCTTCATATTTCTTGTGGTGTATGCAGATGATATTGTGATCACATGTGATGATTCTGAAGGCACTGCTAAGTTGAAATTGTTTCTACAATATCGATTCCACACTAAAGACTGGGGTAAACTTAGGTATTTCTTGGGTATTGAAGTTGCTAGATCCAAGAAGGGTATAAGTTTATCCTAACGAAAATATGTGTTGGACTTATTAGAAGAAACAGGTACGTTGGGTGGTCGTCCGGTTGATGCTCCTATGGATTCAAATACAAAACTTGTGTCTGATGAGGGTGATTTATTTAATGACCCGGGCAGATTTCGTCGCCTTATTGGGAAATTAATTTATCTCACTGTCATTCGACGTGATATTTCATATGCAGTTAGTGTTGTAAGTCAGTTTATGGGAGTCCCTAGAATGCCACATTGGATTGCTGTTCTTCGGATTATCCGATATCTCAAGCAAGCTCCAGTGTTTGGGTTACTATATAAATCAAATGATCATCTCAGAGTAAAAGGTTTTACAGATGCTGACTGTGCTGGTTCTCCTTCAGATAGGAGATCTACTACAGGCTACTGCACATTTGTAGGAGGAAATCTTGTTACATGGCGAAGTAAAAAGCAAACGGTGGTAGCTCGATCTAGTGCTGAAGCTGAGTATAGGGCAATGGCCCATACCACTAGTGAGTTGACATGGCTACAAAATTTTCTAAAAGAACTTGGGTTGACAGTTGAAGCTCCTACTCCATTGTTCTGTGATAATCAAGCAACAGTTCACATTGCATCAAATCCTGTGTTTCATGAGAGGACCAAACATATTGAAGTTGATTGTCACTTCATTCGGGAAAAAATATTATGTGGGAGCATCTCTACTCCATTCGTGAAGTCTGAAGATCAATTAGCTGATATGTTTACCAAAGCATTGGGTCATAACCGGTTAAAACTATCTGTTCCAAGCTGGGATTATTTGATATATATTCTCCAGCTTGAGGGGGAGTGTTAGAATGTTATATATATATATACATGTGTTGGGTCATTCTGTAATTATATATAGTTGATAGGGCCCCTGTGTTATTAAGTAATACTTGTTCTCTTTATATAAGCCTACAAAGGCTTATTAGGTTTAGTGTGTTGAAATACAAGAAATGGTTGCTCTCTCTCTCTCTCTCATATGATTTTGAACACTGGTGATGGCCTGAGTATCTTGCAATATCCCATAAAAATTTCCAAAATACTGGTTGGTTATATATCAGCTAGGAAGCACGGACACTCCAAAATGGGCGAAGAATCCGTGTCCGACACGTGTCGGACACGAACACGCGTCGGACATGCCCCGACACGTGTCGAACACGCCAAAAAACGTGTCTGGAATTTTTTTATTTTTTTTTATTTTCGGACACGGCTCAGACAGCTCGGACACACTTTTCTGGAATTTTTTTTTTTTTTTTTTTAAATTTTTAATGCTGATATGTTAAATTTTTTTTTTTTTTTAAATTTTTTAATGCTGATATGTTCTATTTTTTGTTTTGTACTACCCTAAAGATGCTGATATATATATATACTAACCTAAAGATGTCACAATTCGCTGTGTCCGTGTCCTAAAGATGCTGATATATATATATACTAACATATCAGTGATATATATTATATATTCCAACCTAAACATATCAGTGTTTTTTTAAAAAAATTATTAATGCTGATATATATATATATACTATTCGCCGTGTCCGTGTCCTAATTTTTTTGGATTTGCCGTGTCGCCGTGTCCGTGTCGTGTCATATCCGTGTCCCGTATCCGTGTCCGTGCTTCTTAGTATATCAGCATCAGTGTTATTTTAATGATTGAGCATGACATGTCTAATGGAATCATCACTGGTGTCATGGTCATGAAAACCATATAGCAGGAAAAAGAATATAACCATTTCCAAACAGGCCAATCATCACACATGAGAAAGACGTCTTAAGAACCCTTCTTCTATATCATACAGCCTCCATAGAATCAACTGTCAGCAAAACTAAAACTTGAACATGTTCATTTTTATCAAGAAATATGCAACCAAAACAATGAAGATGTATTAACAATTTCTGATGGTACTCAGGTCAATCCTAGAGGACTTGTGAGAAAATGATTCGAAAGCTCAAATAACATTAAATTATTTTTTAAAAAAAAAAGGAATCCACCTTTTTAAGCATGAAAGCACACAACAGAAGCAAACCCATACATGTGTCACATTTTATTATTCACGATTGAAGACATGAACTACCTGTTGAAGCCCTTCGTGATTCAAAATAAACTGTGTACGTTTCCAATCACTATGAGGTGAAACTAAATTCCCCGCAGGGGGTGCCATCAGATAGCCAACTTTTAGATAAGGTAAAGGCAACTGTCATCAAATAAGCCCTGTTAGAACTACAATTTGGAAAAACAATGACTGCATCTGGACAAATTAAACTACACACTTGCAGACCATATAAGTTCTTTAAATTTCATTAGGTGAGCTTCGCGTATAACTGTGAACTGATATTTAGCAAATAAAATAAAAGAAAGAAATAGAAGGAAAATCATATATAAGGTATGAAATATTTCAACCAGTTGAAATGTATTGACATTGGTCCCACCAAGGTGAGCTAATGATTGACTAGGAATGCTTTGATGCAACAAGTGATTGAAGTGCAATAGCTAGTGGAATAAGATGCACAAACAAGATTTAGCAGTTGAGGGGCAAGGTTCAGGTAACTACACCTTTTACTTTCTCTTTTGATAAGAAAATCATCTAATTAAATGACAAAGGTACAAAGGAAGTAGATGGTTTATGAATGGGCTTGAAAGATTTTTTTTTTTAAATACAGAGAGAGAGAGAGAGAGAGAGAGAGAGAGGTACTGACCATGGAGCGCACAAGCTTCAAGGCACTACCATAAACCTGTAAATAACAAATATCACATGAAAAAAGAAACGAACTTTACAGCTCAGAAGGCGTAGGAAAATGAATTCTATGTTATTAAGTAACTAAATTAAAGACAAAAAGTACTAAAACAGCTCCTTCTGAAACCACAATTACTTCATATAAGTGTATGGAAAGTTAAACAGCTAGAAAGCGGCTGCTTTTCCTCATTCTCTTTTTACCTCTTTCACATCATTGTACAACGGATGTGGAAAAAGTAAAACCAATTTTAAAATAGTACTGGCAAATTGCGAAGGAAAACCAATTTTTAAAAATCTAGCATATGATCTAAATCAACGAATCTAATCTAGTACCAAAATTAAGTTTTAGTGTTCTGTTTGAAACTTGGAAAACAGGATGGACAGCAAAAAGAAATTATAGGGTATTTCATTGTTCCTTGTTTGGTTGCATTAGAATCCTGAACAAAAAGAAAAATGAAAGGGCCAGCTGGAGAAGAGAATTTTAATGACTTCAAAGAAACCCTATTTTCCACATAGATCAGTGAGGAAACATGAGAAAACTTGAGAGGAAAGTGAGTCAACATGTTACGCGTAGATGAATTCCTTCATCTGATTTTCCTTTCCTTGTCATTCCATTTCCTTCTTATTTCCTTTATTGTTCCTGAGAACCAACAAAGCCTAAAGGAATTGAATAGGAAGAACAACATGAGGTACTTACGGAGTAAGTCGGTTTCAGTGCATGAGCAGCAGCAATGTAGATTGCAGATTGGCTGTACAACTCACTAGGGGTAACTTCTTTCGCATTGCTTGATCCCCCAATTCTCGTTGTGTCCTCGGCTAATGAATACTACAAACATAGGATAATAAGAAAGAACCAAGCTGTATCTCTCATTTTGCAATGAAGTCAATATCCCAAAATAATGTCATTGAAAACATAACATCATGCTCCTGGAAAAAGAAAGGACACGCCACCAAGGCTCTAAACTAGTGGTATTTCCTCCTCCTCCCACATGGGAGGTTGAGGGTTCAAGTCTCCCATAGGGGCAATAGTGGATTTGTGAGTGTGTCGGGTGTGCGTGTTCTTACCTTTTTCTTTTTTAAAAAGGAAAAAGAGAAAAAAAAAAAAATGGAAAGATATGATAGGATGCCAAACTAACCAGAACAGTGCCAAGGTTGTAAATTGCCCTATGGAAGTCGAATTGCAACTCTATTGCTGCACGGAACTGCATTATAACACAAGGTATCAGATGCAAAGAACATAGAACTTGCTCATAGAATGAATACAAGGTAACTCCGCAATTCATTGATGTACATTATCCAAGCACCCTCATGCCTCCATATAACTTTGTACCTTACTAATTGCAGTTTTCACAATTGTTTGCTTTTCTCGTGCAGGAACAATTGCACTGAGTTCCTGGAATGCACATTTATAACATAAATCCAATGAAACATCCAAATATTCTACCAAAATATTACAAGAACAATGAAACAAAAAGCTCCACAAACACTCTAAAAATATAAGTACTGAATGATTAAAGGAGTTAGTTTTGTTGGCAAGGTTTGTTTAGCTAAAAGTACCTGCAGAGCAAGTCCCCAGTTGTTGAGTGCCTGGAATAATTTATTGTGAAGTTACTACCAGAAAATAAAAACACAAACATGTTTGCAACTTCTCCAGCAATTCATATGAGAGTACATGATCATAGATATCAAGTAAGAAGAAAATATAGAATAAACGAAGGGTAATGCAATGAGTAAGATATTAGGGTTCAGACTTAGAAGGTAATTTTGAGACTAACTCAACAGTTTCTTAAAGATTTTACCTGAGGACTGTTCCAATTGAGTTGGACAGCTTTTTCATAATTTCTAGTTGCCTGCACATTGAAAAGAATAAGAAACATTTTCAGTGTTTCGATATTTTTTCCCAAAAAAATAGATAAGAGTATCTGGTAACTTCTAATTCAAAGAGATTAACAGGCATGGTAGACAAGACAGCATAAGAAGAAGCTAATATTGTATCACGTGTGATTAACTCTTTTTGACATCATAAAGGTAGCCTAAATGGTGAACTTCATAGCAATTACTCACGATTATGAAGCAATAGATCATTTCATAACCACCAGGTTTCCCTATTCCAAATACTAAATGTTGTTTTTACTGAGGCTATGGCCTTGGATAGGGCAGAATGAAAAAAATCGGATTCATGTAGCCGACCTCGGGTAATTTGGAGAAGGTTTTGATGAGTTTAGCAGCACATAATAGCTTAACTTGAGAGCAGGAGACAAATAGCCATCATTATGAAAATTTCAGGCAATAAAAGCCACAAGCAAGATCCCAAGAGTATTTTGCATTGAAACTATGGTAAAGTAAAAGTTAATATATAACTTCCAGTTGGGCTCGTTCATATATTATGCTTTCCAGTAATAGTTGCAAATCAAGGTTAAATGTGTTATACTTGATGGAAATGTACATTTATCAAATACATATGCTGGTGAATATATCAAATTATTGGTTTAATAGTCAAACAAGAAAAATAGTAATACATTTTTAAGGGGCTCCCAGAATAACAGAGACATTAATAAACAACTAAGAATCAGAATCTTGTCCAAAGATTCATACATAACAAGCATATGACTTTCAGAAATTAACACATTGCATCTCAACTATCAAGTTGCTAAATCAATATATGTAAGTACAACCAATGTGACAGTCCCAATTTCCTTTTTTAAGTTTCTCTTTCAATTTTCCAAGTGTCTTAGCATATTTAACATTTACATGAAATTTTCACTTTGCTCCCTGGTAAACCATACTCTCCTTTCAGATTTTGAAGGACCAAACCCCACCTCTAGAACATTACATATAACAATGTTCGGAGAAAACAGAGAAGTTATTGAGCAAAATATCATACTGATGATGTTTGTAAATATAACCATAAAAGCATGAACTATGAGAATAATAATGGAATCAAATGGTCAAACCTGCTTCCAAAGTTCTTCTGCCTCTTTTGTCCGACCACGCATTTTTGCCCGATCAGATATTGCTATAGCCCAATTATAATAAGCCTGGGATTTAATGACAACAAATTATGGATATGTAGTATGAGGTGGATCCAAGTTTTGGAACAATAAATAAACTAATTTGCAGGAGCACATTCTATCTTAAATCTACGTATGCACCAGCAAGAAATTAACTGCAGTCCAAACTGAAAAACCAGTGGCCTTCTGCCAGGTAGATTTTGATCTTGCACGTTGTACAAGTTACTTTAGATTCATCAATATTCGATGTGATTATCCAAATAATGCATCTGAACATACATCATGAAGTGTGGGGCAAAGACGGGTGGCCTCATCGTACTTTTTGCATGCCTCTTCAAGCAAAGCATCTTTAGAAGCTGAACCAGAATCCGGATTAACATTATCTGCACTTTCCTGCACACAGAAGTTGGATCATATAGACAGCGTAATTCCACTTTGCTGCTCTATGGAATTGGTACGATACACTTAAAATTACAGTTACTAATTGTTTTTTATAAAGATAATTATAATATTTTAGTAAACATGACAAATAAAGTAATTAATTTAAATTTTAGAATGATAATACTTATAATACCATTAAATTTAAATCACATGAATTATGTAAACTTTCATATGGAAAATATTAATTCATGTCATGTGAATAATTCTCATCTTCAACAAAAACACATTTTTCTCTGATTAAAAAAACCGAAAAAGTAAACATCCAAACTCTACAAAAATACTGCAAATGGTCGTGAGACAATACTCAAAAGCACAAAGTCAGACCTGAAGAACCAGTGCCCAATTGTAAAGTGCATCATAATCTTCTGGATTTCTCTCTATAGCACTTGCATACCTGAACAGTAACAGCAACAGGTGTTCACGGAAATATGCAGCTAATAATAACATCAAAAGGTGTTCAAGAAATATGCAGCCTAAAACATCAACATAACAGTTCCAATGACATATCAATTTTCCAATAAGATTTTTGGGCAATGGGCTTTCCCTTCCACGGCCATCTTGTTATAGTTACCAAGGAGAGTGATAAGTGTCTTGGGAAATATCTAAAACATTACAAATGAATAAGGTGAGACTTCAAAAAACAGGATTCACATAGAAAAAAACAGTTGGAATAGGTGTGAGATTGTGCTTGGGGGAGGAAAGCTCAACTGTGAAACAGAAAGAGACTTTCGAAAGGAAAAAAGTAAATAAAATAACCACACGCAATAATAGTAGGTTGACTATTTTTAGCTAGTTTAAAATTTAGAGCCATTGAACAACCATATTATTCCATAGGATGGGTAGTAGAAAAACTCAAAAAAATAAATATTAAAAAATAAATAAACAAATAACTCATTACAATAAAGAAACCTCAATAAGCTTGCTTATCAAGCGAATTTCAAGTGTCATATATATAGTCGAAGCATGCAATAAATTGTCGCATAACATTTTGCATGCAGGCAGGTCGCATTTGGTTACAAAATCTTGAAAAGAAAAAATTACAAGCAATGCCAGCCAAGCTGCTAATTAATAAGTCAGAATTACAAGAAATGATGACTACCTCCTGGCAGCAAACGTAAGAATCCGTTGGCGAGACCGACCCTCCTCATCAGCACCTGTGACACTGTTGATCAAGTCCATGGCAGCATTGTTCTGGTCTATTTGCTGTTGTGCAGTTTCTTGACTGCATTCAAATGCATGAAATGGATATGTATTGTGTAAGGAGAAGTACATATAGAAATAGGAACAATAATTCTGTAAGTTCTACTTCAAGCAGGGCAAACAGACAAACACCATATGTAAAATATTTAATTTGTCAATAAAATGGATATATATAGATAAGCACCAATAAATTATCATAAGATGTGTCACAAAATAATAAATTTTTAAATAAAGAAGCAAGAAACTTCTCCTTGCACAATGAAATCAATGCTTCTGTTTACAATATTCTTGTGTTAAATTGTTTTGAGCAAACCATCTTTTATATCAAAACAGGATTTAGAGGAAAATAAAGTGAAGATGTCCCCGTCAACTACTTTCTTCCTTTATTCCACTAGGAAGGACTAGTATATCATGAAATCAGATTCAATAGATTTAGAAATTCATTATTCCATTATGCTACAAAGCCTTATAACACAATGTACGTATAAGGCTCCACACTATGTCATACGTGACCGCTTAGACAATTGCTTACTGTAGTACGGTTTAAAATCTTACCTGGGGTCTTCAAGGACTAACACTGCAGTGACCTCTTCAATATAATCAAAGCCAAAACACACGTATTAGAGTCGAGCATGTCCGCTTGTTTTGCTCAATCTTATGTTCAGCTAGTAAGTATCTATATACTAGGGAGGGGCAATGAGGGATGTGTTCCTCTCTAAAAGTGACAATATATTGCACACAAGATCCTATCTCATTGGTTGTCTTTGACATGTGTATAAACCTCACATGTTTGATTTTAATCACAAGTACTTTTTTCATTCACAATACAAGGGGGTCATCCCCTATCTCAACAAAAGTCCACTTGAAGGGCTCAGGATGCTCACTTTCTCCTTTCTCTCTCACCCCTTTCCTCCTCTTCCTCCATCTATGATCTAAAGCACCCACCTTGGGGCCTTTTAGCATGACATGTATCTTGTCACGAATCCTCACCCACGGCCAATGAATAAACATTGTTCAACAAATCCATACTACAACTCCCTCAAGAACACCATATACTGGATACGGTCTCTTCTCATTATCCCAAGCAACGTTATTTTTCTTATGAAATAAAAAATCAATGCCAGATGAGCACACCAGTAAGAAATGTTTTGATTCAAATTGAAAAAATAAAACAAAGAGCAAGGAAAGTAATGGTACATATATATACAATAAACACATTAAAAATATTTTTTCTTATTTTTGTTGATAATGACAACAACAATGCAATTAACCCATACCGAATTCTATTTTCATCCTTTAGGTGCCCGGTAGTAAATCTTCGAATATTTCTTTAAAAGTCGAAACACAATTCAATTTGAGAATGCCTTCTTAGTCTCAAATATGGAATATATATATATATATATATATATATATATATATATATATATATATATTAATTAATTGCTAAATTTAAGCAAACAATTTCACCAAATTCTCAAAGATCAACTTCAAGACAGAGTAAGCACTCAATTTTTAGCCTATATTCGATTTCACAAGTAACTGCAGTCCATTCCATTCCATTATGAAACACAGAAAAAGGAAAGTTATCATCTTGTAGACTCAATGGAATGGAATCAAATTGAATACGAATCGAAATGAATACGAACACTAACCTGTAGCTGTAGGGAGAGCTGGCTTCGCGTCTTTCGGATTCGGAATCTTCATTCCCATTCCCGTTCCCTTCTCCATTCTTCAATTCATTCAACAATTCTCTCATGGTGAAGGTTCGGCTCCCTCCGTCGTCTTTCCGGAGGTCGGCCTGCTGCTTAGCTTCTTCTGGTTCTTGTTCAACCGCGGCGGCGTCATTGGATTGGTCATCAGGCTTGGGATCAGTAGTAGTAGTAACTTTTTGCGATTGGATCGATTCGTTGTCGTCTAATTTTCGTTGGTTGAGCTTGGAATCTGCATCGGTTGTGTCGACTACGTCATGATTTGATTGAATTCCGTTGTCTTTAGATTCGTGTGGTGCTTGATCTGCACCATTTGCAGCAGCAGGAGGAGGTTGTGATTCGTTTGGTTGGATTAGCGACTCGGAATCTTCGGCGTTTGATGAAGACATTAGCAGCGACACGCAAGATTAGGGCTTTTTGCTTCTGATTTCTGAAGGAATTTATGGAAGGGCTCTGGAGAGCTTCAATTTCGAAGACTGATAAGAATTGAGAACCAACACACCACGCGCGCGCACACAGATCTGTTGTCTATATAGGAGTAAAATATAATTACAAAAAGTATAACGACAACATGAAATATGTTTTGAGTACTCGAGTATAATGTATATTTGTTGCCGAGGCAGTGTTTTTTTACATATATATATGAAATCTAAGTAAAACAAAAGGACTTTCCAAAATTACTCTGTTGAGGCGTGACTATTCAAAAGTTCTATTTTTCCTGTTATGTCATTTTTTAAATTAAAAAAAAAAAAATTTGGTTTTTTTTTTTTTTGGTTTTTTTCTGGCAAACACAGGAAAATTTACAAAGCGAAACTGCCATAATCAGCCGGAAGCAAACTATTACATGGAATGTGAATAAGAACCACATCACTTTTTTTTTTTTTTTTTCTTTTTCCATACCAAGAAATTGATGAGAAATGGATTGGTATAAATATTCGTTCAAAACATGGTGAATTCAGAAAATAATTAAATAAATAACGACTTCATATAAGTATAGCTATGCTTTGTTTACTATAAGTATAATAAATGCTATAAATAAATATTCTTTATACGCTATACAATATACCATATATATAATTTTTTTTTTTTTTTTTCTTACTCCTTATTGACTAAAATTCAAAATCTAATTAGATCATCTTCCTCCTCTTCAAAATAATAATAAGAGAGAAATTTTTTTTGGCATTCGGTCGTTGGAGGACATCATCCACATCACCACCGTCAAGGGATCCCTACCTGATCGGCTCCATTACATATTCATATCCAGAGCATCCATGGAAGGTAACAAATGTTTTAAATAAATTTCTAACCTCTGTTTGGTTGCCAAAAAAAATGAGGAAAGAGATCGAAAATAGAATGGCATTTTGGAACTTATTAGTTGAAGTTTTAAATGGAAGATCCGTCTCTGTATTTCTGACATGAGTAGTGAGTGGAGAGTATACAACAACAAATATTCTTAGTTGAGGAGGCCCCGGATGACATGGGCCAGGTCCGACTCGCAAAACACAACATTCAGTCCGAACAGCTGGGTTAGCCCATAGAAAGACACTGCCATATGGGCCGAACGGGAGTAAGCCCATCAAGGGTGACCAGGGCTTACAGAGGAATAGGCCCAGATCCAGCAATCAGTAAATATCTTGTAAATATCTATATATAGGAGTTGGAATGAAGAGGAGAGGGATCTTTTCGGGTTGAGGTGTAAGAATTCTAGAGAGAGAAAGAATAGTAGGAGTTTCTTGCATCTTCAATTGGCGCCGTCTGTGGGAAATCGCATGAAAGTTTGGTTGATCAATGAGGAGTATCGAATGGATTCAAACCAATTCGGTTGATCGAGACTCGATCTTGGGGATTTGAATCCAGATCTGAGCGATTGTGACCTACTCTGGAGGAATTACAATTCTTGAAGCTTTGGCAGGAGTGACTTCAGATCTACGCAACCACGAGTTGTTCGATTGTGGCAGGATCTGACGGATTTAGAGTTCAGACAATTCAGATCTCGTAAACAGTGAGCATAATTCGGAGAATTAGAAGCCAGATCTAAAAATTCCTACTCACGACGCTCAGATCTACTCGCGAACTTGAGATTAATGCCTTTACTCCGTTCGGGAATAATGATAGGTGAAAGCTCCAATCCGATGGAGGCTGTCCAGCAAACAAAGCTTGAAGAGTTGATGAACTTGATTGAAGCCCTCAGAAAAGAAAATGCGGAATTGAAAGCTGGACTGCAGCATCGGCAAATACCTGCGGTTTCGCATCCACTTCCGGTCGGAGAAGGAGGTGTTCCATCTAATATCGCGCATCAAGGCGATCAGGACGAGAACAATCAGTCAGCTCACCACCGTGATGAAAGGATGATGGACAATTTGCCGCCAAATGTTCGTCGAGTTGAAGATCACGAAGGATCGACTCACGTTGATCCGCAGCGGGAAAGGTTTGACCGAGAGGAAGTGATGGAGGTTGATCGCCGTCGAGTAGCGTCGCCTTGGCAAAGAGAGTTCATGGAGGAACGGTCGTTCGATCCGTCTTACCGGCCCTCCATGGTTACTGTCACTCATCACGGTTCGGAGGGCAGAACCGTAACTCACAGAGCTACCGCTGGACTCCAGAGAGAGAATGAAGCTCTCCGATCCGCAGCTCGGACGGTGGATTCACCATTCACCGACGAGATCTTGAATGCGCCGCATCCGAGGAAGTTTGCTATGCCAGTCTTTATTCTGTTTGACGGAACGACCGACCCGATCGATCATGTGTATCATATCCAGTTGAAAATGGCCCTGAATACGGAAAACGACTCTTTAATGTGCAAATGTTTCCCTACAAGCCTGGCCGGACCGGCGCTCAGCTGGTTCAAAAACTTGCCTAGGAGCTCCATTGGCAGTTTCAGAGACCTGTGCGATCGGTTCATAAGCTAGTACTATGGGAACAAACGCCCGCCGAAGGACATCTCGAGCCTATTCACGATGCGGCAGCACAAGGATGAACGTCTCCAGGCCTTTCTTACCAGGTTTAATCTCACTAAGAGTATGGTGATCGAATGCCACCCTTCTACGGCAGTTCAAGCCTTCAAGTTAGCCATGACACGCGGAACTCCCTTTCACACCAGTCTGGTAGTGAACACGCCGGCTACCATGGATGAACTCAATGAGAGAGCCGATGGCTTTGTGCGCCTAGAAGAAGAGGAGGCAGCTAATGCTCGGACAACGTCGCTTGTGTCAACCGAGGAAAAGTCCAAGGCAAAGATCAGGCAGAAGCAGGCTCAGCCGCAGCGTCAGACCACCTGGAAGGCCGAAAAAAGGTCCAGGGAGGAAGAGTTGATTACTCCGCTGAAGGTCACTCTGGCGAGGCTGTATCAGGAGAACAAAGACAAGTTTTATCCACCACTGCCAATTAGACAACCTCTCGAACAGAGGGATCAAACTAAACATTGTGCTTTTCATTCTGATTTCGGACATCAAACTAACGAATGCAGGAACCTGAGGAGGCAAGTGGAGATGTTGATAGCTAGAGGGGAGTTTGCGAGTTATGTTCAAGGCTCGGCGATGGAGCAGAATCGACCAGTGGAACAAATAAAAAGGAGTCATAAACAAAGCTCCCACAATTCGCAGCCAGTTCGTATAATCAATGCTATCCATGGTCGACCCGAGCCTAGTGAAGAGTCGGATGAGCTGCTACGGGTGCGCCTGCGGCAGGCGCAGATGAAGAAAAGGGTCGGCAATGTGACCACTCTACACCAGCAGAGCCCGTCAATGCAGATAAAGTTCGACTGGACAGACCTGCAGCGTGTTCAACTGCCTCATGACGACCCGTTGGTAGTCAGTTTGACAGTGGCAGATTGCTTGGTGCGCAGAGTTCTGATCGATCCTGGGAGCAGTGCGAATGTTATGCCGAGGGACACATTTGACAGGCTCGACATTAAACCAGAGAGGCTCAAGCCCACCGGAAATCCCTTATTAGGGTTCGATGGGAAGAGGGTGGAACCCGTCGGGATGGTGGAAGTAGAAGTTCAAGCTGCAGAACGAGCTCTTATGGAAACTTTTGTGGTTGTGGAAATTCACCCCTCGTATAATCTCCTGATGGGAAGAGGGTGGATTCACAGAGTCCGAGGTGTACCCTCAACTCTGCATCAGGTCATGAGGTGCCTCGGGCCCGATGGAGATAAAGTAATAGACATTCGGGGGGATCAGGTCGCAGCCAAAGAGTGTTATTCCGTCACACTAAAGCATGCTGGGAAAGGAAAGGCGCCCGTCCGGTCGACAAGCCCCAGATAGCAATTACAGGAACCTCCACTCGAGCAGAATAGGGTGGAGGAGTCAGCCGACTTGACTGAGGAGCCCCTTCTGGATGTGCAGATCGATCAGTCCAGGCCAGAACGAACTACCAGAGTAGGTATAAGACTGACCAGAGAAGAGCAGCAAGAGCTAGTGGATTTCTTGTCCCACAATGTCGACGTATTTGCATGGAGTCACCTAGACATGCCTGGAATTAGTCCTTCCGTATCCTGTCATTCCCTGAATGTCAATCCTAATTTCAAACCAGTGAAACAGAAGCAGCGAAGATTTGCTCCAGAACGTAATCAGATCATAGCGGAAGAAGTCGATAGGCTGCTTGATGCGGGATTTATCAGAGAGGTGCACTACCCTGAGTGGTTGTCCAACGTCGTTGTGGTGCAGAAGAAAAATGGGAAATGGCAAGTATGCATTGATTTCACCAATTTGAACAAAGCCTGTCCGAAGGACAGCTTCCCGTTGCCTAAGATTGATCAAATGGTGGATGCCACCACTGGGTCTGAGCGTTTAACCTTTCTGGACGCATATTCAGGTTATAATCAGATTCCTATGGACCCCGCAGATGAAGAAAAAACTTCTTTTGTCACCGAGCGAGGAACATACTGCTACAAAGTTATGCCTTTTGGACTAAAGAATGCGGGAGCAACTTATCAACGACTTGTTAGCAAAGTTTTTAAAAATCAAATGGGTAAGACTGTCGAAGCCTATATTGATGATATGGTGGTAAAGAGTAGGAAAAAGGATGATCATCTGAAGCATCTGCAAGAGGTATTTGATGTACTAAAGCGATATGGGATGAGGCTCAATCCGACCAAGTGCTCGTTCGGTGTGAGTTCCGGGCAGTTTCTGGGACACGTGGTCAACCGCAGGGGCATCGAAGTTAGCCCCGCTCAAGCAGAGGCTGTGATTAAGAATGCCGAGCCAAAGACGATCAGAGAGGTGCAAGCCCTAACAGGACGAATAGCTGCATTAAGTCGATTTATTTCAAAATTGTCAGACCACTGCAAACCATTCTTTGATACGATTCGGAGCCATGGAAGGCAGGTCTGGGGGGATGAGCAACGACAGGCATTGACTCATTTGAAGCAATATATGCAGAACCCACCAGTCCTGTCAGCCCCAGAACCGGAAGAAAAGTTATTTCTATATCTTGGAGTATCTGGTGTCGCGACGAGTGCCGTTCTGATTCGTTGCAAGGAAGGGGTGCAATACCCGGTATTTTATGTAAGCAAAACACTGATGGAGGCAGAAAAAAGATACTCAAAGGCCGAACGGGTGGTACTTGCACTTGTAAATGCAAAAAGAAAGTTGAG